TAATAGTAATTTTTCAGCAATGTTATGGTAGTTATTGTGCCCTCGATTCAATATTCATGTATTTTATACATAAAGCAAACGATGTTTTTTAATTTCTTCATTTAAAGCAAACGAATGTTAATTGACTACTTATATGATTTAACGACTACATACTGAAAGTAAAAAATATATACATATTATTTTTAAAAAGTTATTGATCTTCATCGACAATTTCTCTCATCTTATTCTACTTTCCCTTACATAAATATTTTTATTTTATTTTTAATCAATACTAAAAATACAAATACGAATAGTGTTTAATAAGATTGCTCAGCAAGTACTAAAGGATCGTTTAAATAATAAATGAAAAAGTCTAAATGAATGAATTATACAATGCATATTCTCTTGTAGTAAAAAATCAGCTGAGATGAAAATTCGTTCCAAATAGAACGAATTCTTTTTGTAGAAGCGAAAATATAAACTGTTTCCTTTAAAAATTTAAGAAAGAGGAACATGAACTAATTCATTTTTACGAGGAACACGACAAAATTTGTAATCCTTTAAATTTTAGTGTTTCTAACATTTATTTTTCTGGGTATTATGAATAAAAATGTACTTTTACGTTAACTTCTAACAATATTTTTTTAATTATGCCTCTATTACATTAACATTTAATCAAGTATAATGATATCTGACAGTGATTAAAATCACTATAAAAAAAAAAAAAAAGCTTCGATGCAAATCTTTAGATAGTGTTTAATTTTAAAAATTGGTGGTTTATTCCAAAAGCTACAACTTCTGCTAGTTCCTTATTAATATCCTGATTAAGATAATGTTTGTCAAATGAAAGAGGGATTATTAAAAAATATTATTCTCATAAAAAAATTGTGTTGATCCATACACTTTTCAATAAGTTATAGCATTATAAAGTTAAAAATGTAAAATATAAAATCGAGGATTTTCACACGAAAATAGCATTTGGTAGCCGTTTTCACTGTGAAAACAAAATAAAATCCGAAATTTTTTTTTTCATAATAAAGTAAATTACATTAACTTTAATTTAAGATATATATAAAAGTGTCAGACTTTCCGGAACACTTTCAAAAGTTAAGTGTAAAAGTAAATTTTTTGTGAAAAAGTTGTCATTTTAAATCTCCCTCCGTGGGCAGATAAAGGGTCAGATTTATAAAAAAAGTATATAAAATGATAGATAAAGACATCAAATATTTATAAAAAAAAATTATATGGAAATGTTAATTTTTGAAAAAGATATGGCAGTTTTAAGTAAAAAAAATTTCGAAAATTACGAAAATTAGCGATTTTTAAATTTGTAATTTTTTGGAGATTTCCCCCATTTACGGGGAACGAAAGAAATTTTTACAATTTTCGAGGGTAATGACTTCGACTAGATACGTTTTGTAATCTTTTGAAGTATCGTTAAAAGAAATCCGTTCGGTGAAATCTGAGAAAAAGTGGTTACAGACACAAAAAAAAAACACATCATAGTAAAACCAATACCTTCTCAGCTTCGCATCGAAGCTAAAATAATAATTTTAAGCATGTTTAAAACTAAATAATTTTAATGCAAATTTATTTTTTCCGAGTTTATTATTCCAGACAAAAAATATATAAAATAAATCAACAATTTGTATACGGATAACAATTTGATAAACTATTGTACTAATTTTTAAGATTCGGTTATATAATTGTTTTATACTATTATGTCGTGTAATTTTCAATATCTATTATATATTTCAATGGTGGACAGCAAATAATTGGATCTAATTTATTAAATGAACATAGCCGAAAATTATATAATTGTTTAACGTTATAATTTTGGATGGACAAACAATTTTCGTAGCGTTGACAAATAAAATTATAACTATTATTTTCATATTCCTCACATATTTCACCTGTAATCAAATTAACATTATTTTAATTACTACTTTAAAATTATTTAGCTCAAGTAAAATATTTAAAACTTGTGTTTAAAATCCCTAGAGTAGTATTGAATTAAGCCTAGATTATATTTGAGTAGTTAGATTTAGATCTCATTCATATTATAGTAAAATAAATAGGATTTTTATCCCCGACCTTACCGCAAGAGTTCTTCAAAAACCACAACACCTTGGAGTTTACTTACCATTAGGTGCAGAAACACACATCACTGATCATACATCTAGTTATTTCCATTTATTCGGATTAGAAGGCATGGGCATACTCACTTGTAAGCTGCTAATTGACCCACCCAAAATCTCCTTATCAAGTAAGAAAGACTTTTTAACTAAGTCATATACCAATAAGTAAAATTAATATTCAGGAACCTCTATGGTGCCGGGAACTACATGGAGTATAAAGCCCTATCCAGAGCACAGAGCAATGAAATGGTGAACTTATTTTATGAGAACCAATACTATACTACAAACAACGATAATCTTGTTAAAAACAGAACCCAATTATGGAAAACTATAAAAACAATAGTGTAAAAAGAACGATCTCTTAGCAAGATAGCAAGATCATTGGATAATTTTAAACTATAATTCTATTAATGGGGCATCTGTTGATGATAACACGTTTAATATATGTTTTTGGGATCGCTAAAACCGTATCTAAAGAACTACAAAACGTCATGATTTTGATTTTCAAAGAGACTGGCGAAGTTTATTTATTTGACTTACGAGTTTGATTGGATTATTGAAAATTACATTGAAACCCTAACATGCTTGTTATTTGATTCGAATTTAACGAGTCCAAAATTATATAGTTAACGTGATCTGGCCTCCAGGTTCGAACAAGAATTTTTTTTTGACTATGTAAATTATAAGAAAACATTAAAATTGTTTATTAATTTTTTTTAAATATATTTATAGTAGTAAAATATTTTACTATTGAAGATTTTTGATTTAAATAAACATTTCTACATAAAAATCAATTATGATACTTAAGTACCTCTAATTAAACGTTGTGTTAATTAAAATAATGCATATAATTATGCACTTACCTTCATTTAGTTGGAGCAAATCAGAGTCATGAGAATATCCTAAGCAATGACATACAAAAAATATTAAAAATATTTGAATTTTCCACATCATAGTAATCACAAAGTTAAATATTAAATAAAAAAAATTACGCTTGATTATTGATGTGTTTTGATAATTTAATTCAAAGATAGTAGTTCATAACGATTGATGCTATACGTTTGTACTGAAGGATTATTTTATAAATCTACTGTGTTCAGGTATCTGATTCATATGAATGTGAATTATTTCAAGGTTTCGATTAGTATTAATCATAAATTACTATCAATAATTCCTTTAGGTTATATATACACGAAAAAATTGTTTTTAAATGTTTACCGAGAAAACATGAAGATAAAAATCAAATAATTAAAATCAATATATGGTATTTCCTTTACAAAATCGTGATATTTTTAGAAATTATTAATTAAAATTTAGTTACCAATAATGTAAAACATATTAAGCATGAAATAATTTAGATTCGGAGTCAGTTGTTTCTTAGTTCAAGTGAGACTTAGTTATAATGTCTCTGACTTTAAAGTGTTTTTATTTAAAAATATACCAGAAAAAATAAAACTTTTAAAAGTAAACTTTTCAAATTAAAGTTGTTGTTATACCTTTTGTGTTGAAAAAGTTGTGTCCTTTAAGATGTGAACGTTTATCATACTTAAAATCATATCATTTTTTATCAAATAGCCATATTAAATTTTATACTATGTACATTTTTAATGTAATTATAATATAATATTCTTAGAAATACATAATTTTTTTTAATTGTTTTGAACATACGATTATTTTTTTTATTCACAATGAAGGCGATACACAGATATTTGTGTATATTAGTTTATCTTTATTAATACTCGAAAATGTTCTAAAAAACTTGACAACTTTAAATAACTGCAATTAAAACCTTTATCATTTACTTTATGATGAAAAAAGTTATTCTCATGAATGCTTTTTATGTATAAATAGACTTCAAATACATTTTTATGGAACGTTTTTAATAAATTTTGTCTTTTTCATAAGCATTAAGATTAAGATTAAGAAAGAAATTACATTAAAAAAACTTTCTTTATGAACATTTATACTAAAGCGTTTTATGGCAGTGATGCAATTAATTACATAGTTTTCTAAAAATAAATGAGACTAAAATTCCTATATATTAGGTTTTTTATTTAGAATGAATTTGTCATGAACTCATAACTATATGTAAATATTAGTTTTAAGGAATTTGTATTATTAGAAAGTAAAAGTAAATAATAGATTATTATTAATTGTATTAGAAAGTATAACACTAGAAACATTGTTAATTGTATTGTTAATTGATTATTATTTCTAATAAAAAGGGACCTGACCACTCACTCGGTGGTCAGTGTACAATCGATGAATGTTACATTATAGTTATTATTTTGACTCTTCTCGATTACACTTATCCGCGTGGGCAAATTGGACGTAGAAACCCCAGTTTACCACATATTATTTGGCATCCCTGGTAAATTCGTTCAATTGGACATCTCGTATTATTTGGCATCCCTGGTAAATTCGTTCAGTTGGACATCTCGTATTATTTGGCAACCTTGAAAAATTGGCTCAATTAGACACATCATACTATTTGGAATCTCCGGCAAATTCGTTCAGTTGGACACCACAAGAAATTGGCAAATTATTGAAACCATCTCAAGAGATCTAACATCGGCACTTTCAACAATAATTGAAAAATGAAATATTTGTTTTTCGTGGCTCTTTTCTGGTAAATACAATTATTTTAGTATAGTTATTTTAGTTTAAGCAATAAATAGAATAAGTTTTTACTTTGTAAAATACTGCTATTGGTAAAATTTCTTTAAACATTTTACGAACCTTACAAAAAAAATTAACAAAAAAATAATGGCTACACAAAATAATTTTTCTATTTACGAATTAGCTCAATTAATAGGCGAACCTTTTGAAGGCAAATCTAATACTTTAAATAATTTCATAAATGCTGTAAATGATGCTTATATTATGGCTACGGCTGAACAGCATAGACAACTGTTTTTAGCCATTAAGCTGAAAATTAAAGGCAAAGCTAGAGAATTAATTGACTCTGTAGAAATAAAAGACTGGTCGGAACTTAAAATCCTTCTTATTGAAAATTATGGAGAAGAAATTCGTCCAGATCAACTTTGTGTTGAATTACAAACCATTAAACAGAATAAAAATGAAAAAATTAACGATTTTGGCGATAGAGTAGAAAAATTAGAATTTAAACTTTATCAGGCTTATACTTACAAATTAACTTGTAAAATAAAAAAATCAGCCATTAGGGATATGTGTGAAGATCAGGCCTTAGGCGCATTTAAAAGAGGTCTTCACAATAACCAAATTAAAATTATCGTGTTAGCTAATAATCCGAAAACTTTATGTGATGCAATCGCAATTGCTAAACAAGAAGAATTAAGGCTTAATACTGAAAATAATTTAGTTAAGTATTCTTTTAATTCAAATAATCCTAATAACTCTTGTAAAATTTGCCATAAAAATAATCATAGTACATCAAGTTGTTTTTTTCGTAATAATAACAATACAAATAATTCTCAAAATACTCAGAATTTTAATAATAACTCTAATAAATTTAGTAATAATAAAAATAACAATAAAAAATTCTGCACTTATTGCAAGAAAAATTTTCATACTCGAGATGAATGTTATAAATTAAAAAATTCTAATAAGAACGAACCTAGTATTAGTAAAAAATCTAATCTTAATGAANAAAATTCTAATAAGAACGAACCTAGTACTAGTAAAAAATTTAATTTTAATGATTCTAAACAAATATCTTCCGTAAATACATCTCAAAATGATATACCTTATTGCAAAATTTTTTCATCAGATTTGAATAAAAATGTTACATTTATGATTGATAGCGGAGCACAAGCTAGTTTAATTAAAATAGGAGATTTACCTAAAGGACATAGGTATTGGGATAATTCTCTTACCACGTTAGAAGGTATTGCTGGAAATACAAACAGTCTAGGTTATACTAAAATTAATTTAAAAATAGGACATAAAACAATAACACATGTATTTTACATAGTTTCAAACAATTTTAACATCAAGTCTCATGGTATTCTTGGTTACGATTTTCTTAATGAATATGTTAAAATTATTGATTTAGGTAAAAAAGAATTAAAATTCTATTTTCACAAAAAAATTGACATAATAGTCCTTTCTCTTACTAATAATTACTCGATTAAAGGCTTGTCAGAATCTATCATTAAAGTAAAAACTGTTCAAACTANAATTCAAATAAACGACATTAAACACTTAACTCTTCATTATAAGGTAAAGAGATCTTGGGAAGGAGCAGGAATCGCGATTAAATGGCTTTTTGGTAACGCTGACGCCGACGACGTCAAACGGTATGACAATATGATTAATAAACTTGATAACGATGAAAAGGATATTTTAAGAGTAATCCACGACCAAGTTTCTATTAAAAAAAGCACGGTTTCTAACTTCAATGAGTCTATTAATTCGTTTAATGAAAATAAAATAATATTTGATAACAATTTAGCAAAAATCTCCCAGGAGTCCATATCTGGCTTACAGAATATTACAGCTGATTCGGTGGATTTTGAAAATATTATAATTACCCAATCCTTAGTTGAGAATAATATTATATCTCTAGATAAAACCATAAGTAAATTAATTTTAGCCATTATTTTTTCTCANAGTCCATATCTGGCTTACAGAATATTACAGCTGATTCGGTAGATTTTGAAAATATTATAATTACCCAATCCTTAGTTGAGAATAATATTATATCTCTAGATAAAACCATAAGTAAATTAATTTTAGCCATTATTTTTTCTCAGAGGAATCAATTACATCCTATAGTAATAAAACCAGAACAATTTTTAAACCATATTTAAACCATAGATAAACCATATTTTAACTAAAATACCTAATAACCTTCAAGTACCAATAAATGTAAACCTTGATAACATTAACGAAATATTTAAAATTTTAGAAATTAAGACTATATATAATAATAATAAACTAATTTTTAAAATTAAGTTACCGTTAAGTAGTATTAATAATTATATAATTTATCACATTGTACCAATATTTATTCCTTTTAATAATCAAAACCAATTTATTCATCTTACAAAAAATGTCAAATATCTTTTTACGGATAATCTAATATCGCACTATATCAAATTCGACAGCCTTAGTAATTGTCAATTATTAAATAATGTGTTTGTTTGCAAAAGTGACGCGTTCTTTTCCGGTACAGACAAGGTCCCTATATGCGAAACGGACCTATTAAATAATAAATATAGCCTGCCGTCGACTTGTGATGTTTATATATCACAAATTAGCTCGGAAAGTTGGTATCACTCCTACTTCCCAAATAATTGGTATTTTGTCATGGTAAAGGATACCGTAGTAACTATATCATGCAATGCACACACTATAGTTGAAAAAATAATTATAAATAAAAGTGGAAGGCTATCCCTAAAAGAGAACTGCATGGCAATAACACCATCAGTTACTCTTGAGGCTACTCAGTCTCAATTAGAATCAAAATTTGAGTCGATACCTTTGGAGTTTAGTCTATTGAACTCAAGTTGTTGCAATTATATACATAATAGAATTGCACAAAAACCCATACACCTCGAAAGAATGGAAAATGTGAAACTCGACCAGGCAGCCCTTAATAAATTAAATGAACAATTATCTTACCAAGAACGCATCGTCGACTTATTAGCAAACAAACATGTTTACGAATTTTATAACGATAATAAGTTTATAATAAATTTACTTTTTAAAACCTTCGGATTACTATTAGTGGTAGTAATTGTATATATTTATATAAAATATTGTAAGAAAAAACCCGTTAATAACCAACCCACAATAGAATTAGAACCTTTAAACTTAGAAGAAAATCCAATTGTAAATAGACAAGAACGATTTATTTATAATACTAGATTTAGACGTAGGTTACTAGAAAATTTAACATAAAATTATCTGTATTTTAATTAAATATAATAAATAATATATTTTAAAATTGTAAGAAATAATATCTGAAGATATTATTTCTCTTTAAGGGTGATGGTGTCATGAACTCATAACTATATGTAAATATTAGTTTTAAGGAATTTGTATTATTAGAAAGTAAAAGTAAATAATAGATTATTATTAATTATATTAGAAAGTATAACACTAGAAACATTGTTAATTGTATTGTTAATTGATTATTATTTCTAATAAAAAGGGACCTGACCACTCATTCAGTGGTCAGTGTACAATCGATGAATGTTACATTATAGTTATTATTTTGACTCTTCTCGATTACACTTATCCGCGTGGGCAAATTGGACGTAGAAACCTCAGTTTACCACAAATTAACCATAATATTACACAGCAATTTTTTACGCTAAACAAAATGATAGTAGATACTGAATGAAATTTCATCGCTGATTCCGAATCTGATCTTAGAAATTTTATATTGACTATAGTTCAATAAGATAATAAAAGATAATCGTAAATTAGTGAAAATCAGGTAATTATATAATTAACAGCTCATTAAAAAAAAAAATTTCAAAAAACCCAATTTTAAACTTTAATTGTCTATATTTAAGAGATGCTTGCAAAATTTGAAATCTATACATAAACTTTAAATTACTTCACTTGGCCTTAATTTAATTTTGAAATTTCTAAATTAATTTTGATAGTCTTTTTAAAAAATCAAAAATGAATATTTTTTTTTGCTTAAACTTATTAGTATAATATAATTTTTATAATTAAAAAACAAGAAAAACCTATTATATGTTAAGTGTTAATTGATTTGTGCTCCTCTCCTATAGATTATTAAATAATAATCATATATTAAATCTAATTAATCCATTTTTACCAGCGGTTATAAATGGCTAAACACCAATAAGTCTTGATTAGAATGTAGTTCACCTCTGCAAAAACAGTGTTTGAAATTGAAAAACGGTTACGCGATTGCAACTAAACTTTTTGTGCATTTATTGACCTGTAAAATATAAAAAGTAAAAATGATTATCCTCAACTAGCAGTTTTTGTCTCAGTTTGTCGTTATTTTAAAAAATTATATATACATGGTTTATTTGAATTTCTCTTAAAAACGCAAAAAATATGGTGTAAAATTGGTTATGGGCTTGTTTTATTTGTTTTTAGGTGCTTTATAATTTAGCTTAATCACAAAATAATTAAATAGTATTGCCTAAAAAAATTAATCTCTTTCTTTTATGAATACTCTTTGTATAAAATTTCAATCTATACTTATTGTACACCGTACTGAATGTTTTATCCTTTTCAACTTTACACGAAGTCCATACGCTCATTCCAACATCACTGTGTTTTAAAAAATTAGTTATAATGATTCATTATAACAATATCTTCTATAATCTTTAATAATGTAAATCCTTTAATTAAACTAGAAACAAGTCCTATTTTAGTGTTCATATAAGATTTAATAATTATTATTTGCATTAATGGAACAAATAATTAAAATATTAATAATAGACATTCTTAATTTATTTCGTAATCTTGATGATTAAATAATAAAATTATATAATATCTATTAAACCTAAATATTGTCAATTAAAATGCTAGATGCTAAATACTCTTATAAGTTTTATGCTCTTTTAGGTGAATTTGTACTTCATATAAATTTTTGAAGACTAGTTATATTAAACTAAAAATTTGATTTTTATTAAAAGCAAATATGATATTTCAGATTTTGATTTTCCAAAAATGTGATAAACAAATTAATAATATTTTATAAGATAAAAAAAAATGAATAATTCCATAAATAAATCATAAAAATAAATATCGTAATTATTATTTGTTTCGGGATAGACTAAGATTTTCTAACTCTTTCCCTCACGTTTTAATTTAATTAAAACTCATACTTACCATTTAATAAAAATAGTAAATAAAAATAATTATTATATATTTTACAAGTAAATTACATCTATATATATAGTTAAAGTGTTTTTTTCAAAAGAATGTCTCTTTTGAAAAAAACACTTTAACTCAGTTGAAATACTTAATACGCGTTAATGATCACATAACAAACTTTTGTTACCCTAAACGCACAACATTAACAAAAATTATATTATTTTAAAGACAATAAATAAAACTCATACCTCGAGTAAAAAAATTGCTAAAAGTATAGCCAAAAACTAATCATAACTGAACATTTATTTATTTGAAATATCTTTGGAAGTAATTCAACACATTTGTCAAGTTTTCTTTTATAGATATGATCACTTGTATAGCTACAAAGATAAAATATGGTTAGAATGACCATATAAACGGTCAATACAATGACAATTAAAATTAAAACATTTAGTATAACTGAATATTCCGTGGTTTCTAGATAATACATTATGATATGAATTGCTTAAAATATAATAATGGACATTTCAATATTTTGAAATTAAACCAAACTAAATTTTTTATTTTATGATAAATACACCAATATATCAGGTTTAAAACCAGGAGATATGGAAATACTATGAATCAACTAAAATATTTATGTATATAACATAAATATATATGTTATGATTAAGTATTAGCTTCGATGCAAAGCTGAGAAGATATTAATTTTATTATGATGTGTTTTTTTTTGTGTCTTTTACCACTTTTTCTCAGCTTTCAATGGACCGATTTCTTTCAATAATTTGTCAAAAAAACAGAAATTGTATCTAGTCAAAGACATTACCCTCAAAAATTGAAAAAATTTCCCTCGTTTCCCATAAATAGGGGTAATCTCCAAAAAAATTACAAATTTAAAAATTGCTAATTTTTGACATTTTTTTGACTTAAATCGTCCATTACTTTTTTAAAAATGACCAAATCCTATCATATTTATGATATATTAACTCTTAAGCTGCACACGAGGAGGGATCCAACTATGCCACATCCCCACTGTGCTGGGTTTTTTTTTTATAATTGACTTATAATTCTTAAAAATATTGTGTTTTTGTAAAGATCTACAATAATTTTAAACACTATACAGACTATGTTACTTTGTTATACTATTTAAATATGTAGAATATTATTTAAACCAAACCAATAAGTACTTTGGCAAACTAGATAATGGCTTAAAGGGCTAAACCCCCTTGACGTCATAGTTTCTAATACCTTGGTATATTTGAAAAATTGCTACTTAATATTTCATGATATTTATTTTGTACTGTGTCTAAAATATACCTTTAGTAACTTAAAATAAAAATTAAATAGACATTATCTAGCTAAAAAATTATTTCAAATAACATGATAAATGTTATTTGATGTTATGATTGATTTGAATGAAACAAAATAAATGGATTTTACATATAATTCGTTAAATGTAATAATTATTCATTATAACTTGTAAAACTTATTAATTTATAAATGCCTTAATCAAATATTATTTTGAAAAAAATGTATAAAATATAAAAATGCATGCCTAATAAATAAAAGAGACTAAAAATGCAAAACCATTTAGCATAAAATTTGCGATTTAAATTTTATGTGATATGAAACAATTTGTTTCTTGGTAGCCTATTTTATGTATAAGAAAAAATCAAATGACGTTTTTTTTATTGCTCAACAACGCATACATAGGACTTCGTACAATATTTAACATGTCTATAAGAATGATGGAACTTCAACCCCCGTAGACTCAAATTTTTTAGCGTGATTTTTGTCTTTCAAATAATGAAGTTTTAGTAAACAAATGTTTTACTGGTGGTTCAATAACTTTTGGGAGCCTTTTTATAATTTTTCTCTTATACTATCTCCCGAGAGTAAAACTATTTATTAAGATTCTTATTAATTTTAAGATTATTATAATTATTATAAAACTTTAAAACTCTTAATATATAATGTATAGTTAAAATTTATTGTAATCTGCAAAATGTTTTCGTAGTAATAAAATTTTTTTATTATCAATTGGAGTAGTGGTCCCTGGTTAAAGTAAATTTAAAAATTGAAATTTAGAATAAAAATATTAGATGTTTATAAATAACATTCTTAATCATATCAAGATTATCTAAAATTATAAAACATTTAAATAATATATACTCATCACATTTAGAAAATCTTTTTAAAAAATTTTCAAAGTAACTTTTTGTAACTTTTTTTAATTTTGTTTTTAACATTTTATTATAAAAAGATACCTTAAGAATAATTATGAAATATTTAAATTATGTTATAAATGTGCAAATTAGTCGAATAGCGTAAGCAGATTAAAAAAAATATTTTTTCTTGTGTGTATTCAAACTATTGGTTTGTACTGTATATTTTTTATTTATTATTTTATTGCACTGAAATACAGTTTTTGTGCTGAGAACTACTTGGTTACTTAACCCCACTATATACGTGCATATGGTTTTCTTTGTGGCCATTCAGTTACCACTATATTACAATCAACAGGAATACGAACGTCTGACAAGAAGTCGAACGTCGTATATCCTTGGTTTAAAAAATATTTGAACCGTATTAATTGTATAAGTGTTTCAATCATTTTTTAACAAAAATGATCAATTTTTTTTCATTTAATATTTTGTATTTATTGTTTGTGCAAAATGTAGTACTAGCTCAGTTTAACAACGGTAAGTGCATATTTTGTAAATGAAACTTAAAGATGACTCGTTAAGTAAATTTTTATGTAGTAAAGAGAGTGTTTTCATGGTTTTACCGAGATGATTAATTTATAAATTAACGTAAACCGGTTTTTATACTTGTATAAAATAACATCCTCATCTAACTTAATTTGTCAGTTTATATTTAACTAAAATGTATAATATAATATACTAGCTTCTATTGTAAATATATTTAAAAAATATAGCTTAAAATTTTACTTATGATGACAATTATTAAAAAATTTTACCAAACCGTTCATTATAATTTTTACTTTACTAAAAATTAAATAAACTGTTTATTTTGGCCAAATAATATATTTGTTTTGAAATAAAATCATCTTATATACTCATAATTATACAGGGTGTTCAGTAAGTTAGGAAACAATTAAATTGTTACAAACAATGAGTACAATAGAAATTCGTTTCCTTATTTACTGAACACCCTGTATGATTATTATTAGCTTAGGGGTCTCCTTTTTTTACCTTTTTTTTTTTTTTTTGATATATCCTAAGATCATTTGTTGCTCTAAACTATAGTCATTGTAGTAGTATCAATTGCTAAATAAAGATTTGTAGAAATGGAAAAATAAATTTTCTAAAGGTGTACCAGACAATTTTTAATATTAAATTTGACTAATATTATTTTTTTTGTTAACTTGTAAAATAATATTAAATTAGCAAATGTAATAATTCTGTTATAATACTATTTGTAGATTGTTCAAAAGTTGATGAGGTA